ATCAATCGAGGGGGGGGGAGGGGGGGGAGGGGGGGGTACTTTATTAATGCGAAGTCAACATTAGTCTAAACTGCTCAAAGGGGTTATTTAGGGGACTATGGGAAGGACTTATATAGGGCTTATTAAGGGGCTACTAGGAGTTTAGCCCCTAATCCCTAAACCCTATATAATGTCGTAGTTTCCATGTTCTTTTCTATAATCCCTTTCTAACCTATGCCCCAGTTTCCATTTCACTTTCCATTTGATTCTCCATTATTTGGGGGGAGGGGGGGTAATTTCCCTAGACCCTAAACCCTGTTTGTCCCTATATACCCCTTTAAAGGGACATTTCGCTCATACCGCAACTCGCGACTCTTTTCCGCCCGGTCCGCTTTGAATTTGGAGACCCGCTTGGGAGGATCGCCCTGAGCATCAGGTCTCGGGTGGGACAATGCGTGCTCCCGGACGGTATCTGACACCCCAGCACCTGGCTTAGGAGGGTTTAGGATTTAAGGTTTGGGGTTTGAGGTTTGGGGCTTGGGAAAGGGAATGTAGGGTTCAGGAAAGGTCTAGGGGAAAAAGATTCCAGCATCTGAGCCAAAATTAGTCAAGAACCGGAAGATATCTTCTAAGTGGAGTCCTCCGCCACTTGCTCCGAGTATTCAACTGCAGGGGTTCCAAGAATTAAGGGCCCCTTTTAGGGGTTCCTCTATTTATGGAAGCTACCGTATGCTAGTCCCCAAAATTGGGCTACCCCAATATGCCCACAGCATACTAGGTTCTGTGTATACGAAGCCCAAAAAGGACCCCTGCCTACAGAACCCCCGAACCCTAAGCCCAATAAATCCCCCTAGACTCCCGCGTAAAACCGTATATAATGCATAATCTAAACTCCTAGCATCCCCCTTTTCAAGTAGTCCCCTATGTAATCCCTACATAACTCCCTCTGAGTTTAGAGTCTAGCTCATATAAATCATATGAGCTATAATCTAAACTCCTAATATCCCCCTTAATTACCCCTATAGTAGTCCCCTATATAATCCCCTATATAACCCCCCTTTAAGGAGTTTAGACCATAGCTCATATACCCTTACAGAAGCAACACATCCCCTTGAAGGGACCGGCGTGCCGCGAGACAGTGGGGCTTCATGAGGTTTGGGGTTCAGGGTTTGGGGGTTGAGGTGTAATGTTTCACCCTAAACCCTAAACCCTAAACCCTAGGTTTAGCTTCAACTGCTGTGGCTCCTCCAGATTTCAGCAGTCTAGAGTGCTCAAGAAACAGGATCTTCTCCCGCCAGGTTACGTACGAAATGAAGCTCTGAAGGGACAAAGAGAATCCTGTGAATTCCTTGGCATCCCTCGGATAATCTTCCTGATCCTTTAAGCTTCTACAGTGCACCTATGAGCCCCTAGTATCCCCCTTAATAATCCTTGTAATGCCCCCTTATATCATCCCTACATGAGCCCCCTGTAAGGATTTTAGACTATAGCCCATAGGGTCTTCGAAAACCCATCCCAGGCACGCTCCAGAGCCCCGCCAGCCGAAGGATAGCAACCCGCAGGAGCTTCCGATTGCCTTAGGGGGTCAGGCCTTCACAGCCCTCAACCCTATAGTCTAAAACCCCAAAATCCTTAACCCCAAAACCCTGAAACCCTAAAACCCTAAACCCTAAACCCTTTGCCTTAGGGGGTTTAGCGTTTAAGGTGCTTGGAGATTCAAGGTTTGGGATTTAGGGTTTAGAGGTTTTGGTCGAGGGGGCTTGGGATTCGGGGCTCCGGGCTTAGGGCCTGGGTTTTGCAGAAGCCCGCGACGCAGGGCAGAAGCTTGTGTTTGCCCTAGATTTACTAAGGTTTAGGATTTGGGGTTCAGGGTTTAGGTTATTTACTGGGGGTAGTAGGGAATCAGGGACTATAGCATATGGGGATCACATAGGGATTGCATTCCCTTCCTCCCTACTAACCACCAGTAACGAGAAGCAACCGAGAATCAACAGGAGACCTGAAGCATGCAGGGGTGCATCGAGATTTGTTCGAGGCGCCTAATTTTCCACCATTGGATAACCCTACTTGTCTACTTGTGAGTGTGAAGTATGAGATCTGTGGGTCTACATGGGGATGATCTTAGCGGTTTTCAGGCTCTTCCAATACTTGCGCTCTGAAAGTTGTACTTTTGGGCTCACTGGCCCAAATCCTAACCCAAGGCCAAATCCTAAGCCCTAGGCCTTCGCCCGAAAGCTGAAACCCCAAACCCGGCAACCAGATCCCTCTACAGCTCACCGGCCACATAAGGCCCGAAGAACGGGTGGTTTCCCTTAGGTGGACCCCCACCCAGTAATAGTGACTATAAGGGATAATAGGGATTATATTAAGGTGCTCTTATATTCTTATTATACCACTATTACAGGGTGGGGGGTCCTCCTAAGGTTTCCCAGAATAAGGGAACTCCAACATAGACCCTCCAAATGCTATAGTCCTTATTCTAGGCACCCCCAAAAGTGTACCCCTAATTTTGGGAAAGCCCCGATTGGAAGTCCAAAGGTTTAGGTTCGCGAGTTTTGGGTCTAGATTTTAGCGCTCAGGGTTCTCAAAGTAACAAACTGAGCTCGAATATGCTCCTCCTGAGATGTAGCCTGCTCACTTCAGTTATCTAGGCTTGAACCCCCAAACCCTGAAACCCAAATCCCTAAAACTCTAACCCTCTCTACCATCAACCCCTGAAACCCTAAACCTCTAGTAACTCTAACCCCTCAACCCTCAACTCTAAACCCTGAACCTTGAAACCTAAAATCCTAAACCGGGGGTCTGCAGAACTCTTTGACCTTTGGACTTCCGAGTCACACCGCAGACTCCATGAGCCTCCGTCTGCGCTTGGGATTCTAGAAACAGGGGCTTTCAACTTTAGGGTTCTTAGGGTTTAGGGTTTTAGCGTTTAGGGTACAGGGGCTATATAGGGGTTACATATGCTATTGCGATGTATGGGATATAGGGTTTAAGGCAGCGGAGAATCGAAGCTGGGTTTATGTAGGGGTTCGAAGGGAATTGGAATCTAGAATGCTTGGGACAAGATTTTCTGGGTGCATGTTTATAATGTAGTTATACGAAATTTTAAAAAAGAATAATGTCGCTAATCGTTCATTCTGGCTTGTACAGAACTGACAGTGGTTGGTGGGGAAGGAAGGAATGGAGCAGAACGGAGAATAACATTAGTACTTAGCGTTTAGGGTTGAAGGCCTGGATTTTAGGGTTTGGCAGAGGGACTGGGTCCCTCAAATACTGCCTGTATAGTCCCTCACGGAGTCCTACAATCTTGATTCTCACTAACCACACCAGTAGGTCTGCAATTTTCAGACATCTGACCTAACTAGAAATTGGCAACTGGAAGCCTACTCCATATGACCTATAGTCTATGCTTCTAGTATCCCTCTTAATAACCCCTAGAATACTTCCCTATAGAATCCCCTATATAACCCCCCCCTTTAGGAGTTTAGGCCATGGCCCATATGGCTGGACTTCCACCTAAGAACCTGCCATGATCCCTGTTGACACATACCATCTACATGGCCAAAGGGTTTAGGATGTCGTGTTCCCCTGAACCGTGCAAAGGTCCCCTAAAACCACCAAGCCTTATACTGTAAACCTTCTTCCTTCCAGTAATCAACTTGACTCCTGAACCCTAAACCCTAAACCCTAAACCCCTAAACCCCAAACCCTAAACTGTAAACCTTCATCCTTTCAGTCGTCAACTCGACCCCTAAACAATACCACCTGAACCCTGAACCCTAAGCCACACTGGAAACCCTCATCCCTACAGTCGTCAACTTGACCCCTAACCTGAACCCTAAACCCTAAAAGTATGTAAAATAATAGCCCTAAACCCATAACAATAGCCATAAAGACCATTGTTTTACATACTTTTGGGGTTTAGGAACCCTAAACCCTAAACCCTAGAGCTTCTTTTTCTCAGCTCAATCCCAGCGGCCTGAAAAGATCTGCGGGGCTGGTGATCTGCGCTTGACTGCTCTGGCTACCACTGGGCACCTGGGAGTTCTTGCAAACTCGGACGTTTGACTGGAAGGGCTTAGCAAGGAATAAGGGAATGTATTATGGGTGTAGGTTTCAGGGTTTGGGTAAGGAAAAAGGGAATATGTTATAGGGTTTAGGGTTTGGGCTTAGTAGGGAATAAGGGACTTTGTTGTATAGGGATTACACATAGGGATTATATTCCCTTCTTCCCTACTAACAACCAGTAGGGGGTTGTAGCGGATATGCAGGGTTTATTCAAAGTTCTTTAAAAGGGTTATAGGGGGCAGGTAGGGTTTGGAGTGTAGAATTTGCTGCGCAGGTTGTGGGGTTTAGGGTTTAGGGGTTTAAGGTTTGGGGTTGGAGAGTAAGCAAACTTCGTCAGCAGGCGAACAATGGCGTCAACGGAGGGCTTTTTATGGCTTGCGCCCCCAGCACCAAGTAAATTCAATCTCTGAACACCGTTCTGGCACCCTCTGGGCTCTTGGTTTAGGCCTCTGGGGGTAAGGCTGGTCTTATCATGGATCCGGACAGGTTGGAGCATTTTGGGCTTTTGCGCGTAAGGTGCTTCAGCCCACTTGCTTGCATCCAGCCTCCTAACAAAGAACCCATATAAGCTATCTTCACAGGAGCATGAGTCCTTAAAGGGATCCTTGCAAGGAGTTCCACGTTAGTTTGAGGGGATGATAAACCCTCAACCCTAAACCCACAGATCCCTAAATATTGGACTATATATACATATATATACACACACCCACATACAATATACTCCCTGTAGATAGAATGATAGATAGATAGATAGATGGCCCCTGACACTCTCAGCCCTAAACCCATCCTACCTTCTTGAGACTTTGGCACCTCGTCGGTACCCTCGGGCTGCGCTTCTGCGTAGCTTTCCATGATCCTGAATCATGGCTGACGGTGGCCGCTGAGGGCGGCTCCAAACAGTTGGGTCGGAGAGCCGTCTTGGGGCGGCCCCTGGATGCTTGTATTTAGGGAATCCCGAGTAAAAGGCATGTAGCCTTTTGGGGTCCCAAAATCTAGGACCCCAAGCCCAACAAACGAATTTCGGGAAGTCCCTGTTATTCGGCTCGTATAGTCTGTTGGGGTCTACAGTGGGAGGCCCGCTTATTGGAAACCATCAAGCGTTCAGGGTTTGGGATCAGGTTTTAGGTTTGGCGATTAGGGTTGGCGTTTGGGGTTTAGGCTTGGGAAGATTAGGACACCTGACTTTCTTGTCCACTACTTTGTTTTGGAGTGCTTAGGAGGAGGACTTGGAACCTTTAGACTGTCTTGGTACCCTGGACACCTCAACACCCTGAATTCATACATGCCAAGACGCCGAACCTCCAGAACCCAAACCCCCCACACCCAAAACCCAAAACCCCTAAACCCCAACCTAACCCTAAACCTCTAAACTCTGAATGCCTAAATCCCTACACCCACAACCCCTAAACCGGTAGAAGCCCCAAAACCTAAACCTGCAGAAGCTCTCTAAGCATTCCCTGAACCCTTACCCTCATTCAACCTAGTCTAAACGGTTAGCTTCCATAAATCAGAGGCCCCAATATAGAACCCGAATATACCATCAACCTGATTGTGGTGCTCCCCGAAAACGGACCCCGAATTGTTGGGAGCCCCAGTAAACATGCCTAGATTCCGATCCAGTTCGGACAGCTCATCACAGGCGCCGGGCCCATGGGCCGGAGAATCAGAACCTTCCTTCTTTGGGGTTCGGGATTAGGGGTTTAGGGCTCAGGGTAGGATTCAAGGTTTGGGGCTACTGTAGGCACCCCCATAGGCCCCCGCCAACTTAAGGCGTCAATACGGATTTTGGGTGGATGGAGGAATATTAGGCTTGGTCAGGTTGGGGGACTCATCGTAGTCCTGGGACACAGGGTGCTCCAGGGTTTAGGGCGGCCCAGAACCCCGAACGAATCTGGAAATTGGCTCCACAAACATAATGTGGGTAAATATAAGAGGCTCTCATAGGGCTACACCGTGGATGCATCTTTCAGTTCCGCCCAGGGCCCAGGGGTCGGGGTAGGGCACAGGACTCAGGGCGAGAGATGGAGGAGTAGGAGCTTAGGATCTAGGGGTGTAGGGATTCGGGTCTAGGGGCTAGTAGTAAGCTCTTTCCGTTTCTCACGACGAAATAAATGGAAGCTACGATAGAATCTTCACGGTGGTTCTGACGCACGTAGCAGACTTGACTCGTTCTCCTGTCCTTCTCCATTGTGATGGTAGATCCATACGTGTATGAGTCTAAGGACAGGTTAGAGACAAACACACCCTCGTGATGAAGAGCTTGAAAATTAGAGACTACTTGCCCTCCACAAAGCCCGCGTAAAAAGGGCCAAGAACAACCAAAACACACCTTGGGAGAGAGCATCTGGCATGGAGCCCATATCGGGCCCCAGATTCCCCGTTAAGGTTTAGGGGGTTGGGGGTTTAGGGTCCAGGGTTTAAGCCTAAACTCTAGCCCCTAAGCCCCAAGGCTCAACTGAGCCCCAAGCCCTTGATCCAACTTGCACAAAAAATCCAAAGCAAAAAGCCCCTTGAATCCTAAACCCCGAATCCTATTGATGTGTCCCCCTTTCCCCTTTTACCCTACCTAACCCCTAAACCCTAAGCTCTCGACTCTTGAGCTCCGCTAGCCAATCTAGGACCATAGTGTTGGCAAGTATCCCTTTAAACCTCTATATGAGCTAGGGGCCTTTCACTATGAGCTATAGTCTCAACTCCTCAAAGGGGGTTCTAAAAGGGATTACATGGACTACTATATGGGTTATAAAGGGGACACTAGGAGTTCAGACTATAGATCATATAATCTAGTTTCCATTTCCTTTTCCATGGTCTTGTCCATTTCGTTCTCCATTGTTGGAATAAAACTCTAAACCCTATAAACCAAAAACCCCAAATACCGTAGTAGCATCCATTTTCTTTTGCGGTGTAACACTATAAGCCCTGTAAAGTTCCCTGGGATCCTCCATGCTCTCAAGCTCGCGCAGCCGCGACAAAGTGGAGTCGGCTGGCCCACTCCTACTTGGGAGCGTCAAGGATGTTGGGCTTAGGGCATATGCAGGGTATAGGGGCGGGCAGTAGGATTTATGAGTGTAGCGTTTAGCGTTTAAACGTTTACGGGTGTAGGATTAAGGATTTAGGGATTTGGGGTTCAGGCATGTAATAAGAGCTTCAGACCCTCTACGACTTAATTACGAAATCAGAAGGAAGGTTATGGTTCACTCTCAAAATAAATGCTATCGAGACCCTGTGCTCCCTGAATAGCATATGAAAACAATCTTGGGGCACTTAGGGGCATCTCAAACTTAGAGGGCCCGCTTTGCGGCTCCCCGGACGTGAATGAATAAGAGCCGAGCCCAGCGTCTGGGTTTAGAAGCAAGGGGCGGATATTTGGGATCTTGCGCGCGGTTTGGGGTTTAGGCTTTAGAGACCTGTTTGGCACAGGAATCCTCACAAGAGTAATGTTTTTTGTGGTTAAACCCAGTAAGATGATTTTCGTTATATAAGATACTATACCCCAAAAGGAGGATATAATCTTACTCTATAATGGGTACCATAGTATCCCCAAATAAAATACTACTTACATGGTAAGCGGCCTCATGTTTGAGCTGGGTAAGCATATTGGCAAACAATAGTGTTTGCTACGTAGATTAACTACGTGGGATTTAGGCTGCAACCTGATTATAAACTGAATGCGTTTCTGCCTAGTATTTGAGCACCATGTTTCAGTGACCTAGATAACTTCAGAAGGGAACGGCATGGCCGGGCATGAAGGAGTGGATCCCTGCTTCTGGTTCCTTGGTGGCAAAATATCATTTAAAACTGCAACGGTGTATTCCCTATCGGGGTACAACCAGTCAGCTGTGCCCAACAACGACACGGTGACAATGGTCTGGGGTTTAGGGTGTGCTTCAGCTACTGTAATCCCTGGACCTGAGGACCAGAAAACATAGCCTACCTAAGCCCTAAAGCCTAAGCCTAAGCCCTGAAGCCCAGAAAGGAGAGCCCTAAACCCAAGGAAGAAGAGCCTACACCCTTAACCGAGCAAAGAAAAGCCGAACAATACACCTAAGAGAAGAGGGCCGCACCCTTAACCCTAAATCCTAAACCCTAAAAACCTAAGCCTTAAACCCCTGAAACCTGAGCCCTAAACCCTGAACGTTAGACCCTAAATAGTCGCGTCCATGCTCTTGTCCAGTCTTCCCTATGTAATCCCTATTCCTGATATAAAACCAACACAACCAATTATTCACTGCATAACCCCTATATAACCCTTGCCTAAACCTTGTGATGAAAAGCTCTCCCTCCTTGCGGGACGCTGCCAGAACTGCCAGGCATCCTGTTGCGTTCAGATTTGGGATGTGGGGCTTACGTTTGGTTTTTTCTTTTTTTTTTCAGACCTTTTCTCCGCAGCCCGCAGGTCCACGGAAATGCTCCAGAGCACGGTCCCTTGTGAGCTGGCCCTTACCACCGAATGTGTTTAGGGCTTAGGGTTTCGGGCATAGGGTGTAGTGCTTAGGGCTCAGGATGGTTCAGGGCGTAGGGTTTAGGGCTTTGAGTTTAGGGCTTAGGCTTCAGGGTTTAGGCCTTCGGGTACGATGAGAGCCCGCGCTTTAAAGGGGATACAGGGGCTGTACAGGAGGGGAGTCCCCGGTAAGGATTAAACTCGAAAAGGCCAACATTGGGGTCCCATAATTGTTGGAAGTTTCGAACACTTCCATATGGTAGTTTCCCCAAATAAGGGGACCCCAATATAGACCCCAAAATACTATAATCCTTATTATGGGGACCCCCAAAAAAGGTACCCCTAATTTTGGGAAATCCCCATATAGGCTTAGGGCACCTAATCAGGAGCTTTGAGTTCGTGTTTTGGATTCGGATACCAGGCCAGGGGTTCCGAACTTTCCCCCTAAAAGCTGCTGGCCGTTGATATCAGTCTACCCTACACCCGTAGCCCTTAAACCCTTAACCTGCAAATCCCAAAGCTTAATCCC